AGGGAGCCCGATGCGGGACTCGATCCAGGGACTCCAGGATCATGACCTGAGCCGAAGGCAGTCGCTTAACCAACTGAGCCACCCAGGCGCCCTCTTTAAAATTTTTTCTAAAAAGGCATTAAAAAAGAAATTTTAGGTAAAGTTGGAGACTGAAAAACACTTGCCAACTTGAAACCTTGCTCTGTATTTAGCAATCACACACACACATACACACACACACAACAACACACACACACATGTCTTTGAATGTTGCCTATTAAAATACACACAGAACTCTTTAGTCCTCTAAACTTCAAAAGTTTATTGTTTCTTCTGGAGCATAGTATTCAATCCCTAAAGGCCTGTTATGCCAGGTAGGCATCATGGAAAATAATATTCAAGATAATGTTTGTAATTTTAGAAGACGTAAAATAAGCCAACTTCTCTGCTAGTCAAAAGTAACTTGAAATGTTACCAGTTTTCATTCACAGAGGCAAAATAAAGTCAATGACTCAGGGAGATTATTTACCTTAAAATAATGTATATGAGTGATTGACATATTACCATATGATTAGCATGCAAAGCCACTACCAGGTAGTGGGAAAGAGGCGTTCGGAGGATCTCTACATGATTTTAATCTGTAGATACATATCCTGTATATGTATATTTTGTCTGATTTATCTTTCTCATTTATAAAGTGTATTTTTCAGTTAAGGGATGCCATTTATATGTATGCAGAATAACGGCAGGAAAGTCACTCTTAAAATGGAATATTGACTTGCCATGAGAAAACCACCACACTGAGACCCACACATAAACATCTGAGAATTCAAACATCACACTGCGTTTGCTTAGGAATATCACCAGAGCAGTGACAAGTATGTTGATGGAACTAACACGGGTGTTACAAGAGAAACCACGTGGGAGTCAGTCTGCCAATTAAACATGGTAGGGAAGACTTCCTGGAGGAGGTGACACTTAAACTACACACTTAACAGAAAGGAGGTAATACAGTATTACCAAGCTGTGTATGCTTGGCAGATAGAGCTCAATGTGTGTCAGCTATGCAATTTTGTAAAGATGAATGGGTTTGCAATAGGATTTCAGAAGGAAATTTTTCTGCCTCACTTTCAAAAAAATCAGGAAAAAATAGACTATGTTCAAACCATCTGAACTGACTTAAAAATAAGCCATGAGCTTCATTCCTGCCTCTGTAAACTTCCAGGAGCCATTGGTATTTCTCACACTCTGCGCATCTTCCACAGACCTCAAAATATCATCCCCAGAAACCTTGACCCGAAATGCCCAATAAGGCTTGAAGCCCTCAAGAATCCTCTTGTCATGACATTGGACATCTGTAATTCTTTCTTGTTCCATAGGAATTTCTACGGCTTCAACTTTCCCTGAACTAAATGTCTCCCAGTCATTCTTATGATACCTATTGAATCAACACAGCAATATAATGTTGTGTCTCTCCTTTAGATGTAGGAAAACTAGGGTCCGATGCAGGTCGTATCAGGGAATACAGACCAGACAGATACATGCCTGAGGTCACCTAGGGGCACACGATCAGCTTTGGATATCGCTGGAAAGTTGTGTTTATCATAACGTCCCTTGAAATTCACTTTATTGTAACTGGATGGGAAGAACATTTTGATAGGACACTTGGGGTAGGGTTGAGAGCCCTCAGAGACAGCACTGCTCTGCCATTAAAGGAGAATGGGTCCAGTTAATCACTTCTGGTTTTTTGGTTGGTTTGTCTGTTTGTTTGTTCAGTTGACGTCTGACATTTAGAACAGAAATAAATTGCTTTAGATAACAGAATCTAGGTAATGCCATCTAGGGTTTTTGTTTTTCACCACATTGCTGCTCCTGTAAGTAAGTGTTGAACAAAGACTTAAAGAAAGTCAATGGATTTGATTTGGCTTGTCCGGATCCAGCCCAGATTACAGATATAAACCACAACCACATATTCAACGGAGTCAAATGCTGATCTGGGAAATCACAGATGTGATCCCATAGGAACGGCATCCGACAGGCCACAGGAGTCACTTCTGTTAGAGCTCTGGGTTCTTAAATTCTCTGAAAGCAAATACTTTATCCGTATATGACTATTTAAATAAAATCAACATTTTTTGCTTCCGGGGAAAGAAAGAAAAGAAAAGGAAAGGAAAGGAAAGAAAGAAAGAAAGAGAAAGAAAAGAAAGGAAAGAAAGAAAGAAAGAAAGAGAAAGAAAAGAAAGGAAAGAAGAAAGGAAAGGAAAGGAAAGAAAAAAAAAGAAAGAAAGAGAGAAAAGAAAGGAAAGAAGAAAGGAAAGGAAAGAAAGAAAGAAAGAAAGAAAGAAAGAAAGAAAGAGAAAGAAAAGAAAGGAAAGGAAAGAAGAAAGGAAAGGAAAGGAAAGGAAAGGAAAGGAAAGGAAAGGAAAGGAAGGAAGAAAACCATGTAAAGAACATACATGCTTATCACTTCCATGGATTTCTTCATGTAATTCACACACTGATGCAGTGAATAAAGTATTGTTATCTCCATTTTACGAGTGAAAAAATTGAGGCTTGGAAAGGTAAAAAAACTCACCCCAGGTCACACAGGGGTCAAGTAATTTGCCCAGGTCACACAACTAGCTTGGGCAGAGTTGTGACGTAAACCCAAGTGTGACTACTCCAAAATCCATGTTCTTTCCATGACACCAGAATGTTGTATGCTGTGTATCTGGTGTTGTATGCTTATACTCACATCATCACTTTAGCCTCTTCGATGAAATCCTCTTCGGACATGGAGCCTTCGCTGATGGCCTTGATAGCTACCCGGATGTGCGCTCGCCATTCACCTAAATGGACCACCCCAAACTGACCGCTTCCAATCTCCTTTACAAAAGCCAACTCAGCAGGATCTATCTCCCACTTTTCTAGGAAAGTAAAACATCCATGTTACAAGTAGGGAAAACTTTTAGCTAGAAGAGATTCAGGAATTATCTAGACCTACTCTATTCTTTCACAAAGAGGTTAAAAATTTTATCAGTGAGGGGAGCAGAACCGTAACCATTTTTAATACTCTCATGGTCATTTACATGTGTAATTCCAGAACTCAGATTTAAACATACAAACTTGACTTGCTTGGAGAGGAATTACGGATATCAAAACACTTTCTCTTTCCAGAGAGACCCAAGTTAAAAGGCAACACTTTGCCTTTCTGAACCAAACCTACCAAAACTATACCTGGCCCCAAGAATATGTATGTCCCCATCTATTTTTGTCCTGCTGAGTAAACTTGTGAGGCACAGAACATTTGGTCCCCCACCTCGCCCCCTATATCACTCCTCTGCTCACTCCCACCCCTAAAGGGCTTTTCTGCCTTGGTGTCTTCTCCTAGGGAAAAGTCTAACAAATTCACCTAATAAATACATGCACTGCTAGGATTCTAACTCACATATATCTAAGTGTACGTTTGAATTGAAATTTGTGTTATGGTATATTTCACTTCCATAGAAGCCAAATGAGGAAAAAATAACTGTTTTTAAAATAACCCTCTTGAAAACACTTGGGAAGGATCCAATCTTTCCTTTCCAGTACCTCCTTTTGCATAGCAACACCGCCATCTGCTGGAACTTTAGAATAATGCAGTTAAAAGAATTGTAGAGGCTGATGACTCTTCTACCAGCTTTGCAAAGTGCTCCCCCTCCCAATAGCAGGGTACGTTTTAAAAGTAACACGGGAGAATATATTTATGACTTTGATATTGGCATAAACTTATTCAACAGAATATAACCCTAAAGGAAAATATTGACAAATTACACTTCATAAAAATCCTCTTTATCAATTGCACCCCATTAAGAGAGGGAAAAGGTAAGCCACAGATTGGGAGAAGGTATCTCTAAAACATGTAACCAGTAAAGAATGCCTATTTCAGAATATGAAAAATCAACTAGAAAAAGGCAGATAACTATATTTTTAAGGGTTAAAAAACCTAAACAGAGTATCTTTCACAAAAGAGAATACGCAAATGGCCACTCAAGCTATAAAAAGTTGATCAAAATAATCAGTCATCAGGGAAATGCAAATTTAAACCATGCTTAGATACCACTACTACACACAGCAGATTGGCTAAAGTGAAAACCAAAGAAAAGAATCCACGAGAATACTAAATATTGGCAAAGGTGTGGAGCAGCTAGAATGCCCCTACGCTATTCATTGAGGCGTAATTTGGCATAAGCTTTTTAGAAAACGAACTAAATCTGAGTGTGTACAGACATACTCTATGACCCAGCAATTCTACTTTTAAGTATATATCCAACACTGTTGGAGCTTACATGTGTACTGAACTTCATCAAAAAACATGCAAGAATGTCCATAATGATGTTATTTGTGAGATAACAATTGGTTTCAACCCAACTGGCCATCTAACAGAGGATGGGTAAATCAACTGTGGTACAGTCATGCAATGTCGCACTATACCACAATGGAGATGGACCAACCACACCCAACACCACGGGTGAAGAAGGAGAAGCCAGATACAAATGCATGGTGTCTTATTCCATTTATATTAAATAGTCAAAACCAGGCAAAACTAATTGAGCTATAGAGTTATGAGTTGTGCACTGTTCTACATGTTAAAAAATTGAGTTTATTTTAAAAAAATTAAACAGGACTATGCTTAACTTAAATAAACAGCTAATGGCAGAACTTTTATTATATATATTGTATTAAGGGCAGAGTAATAACCCAGGATCCATAATACCCTGAATCATTCTCCCATCCTAATTAAAATAGAGACCCCGAGTCCTGGTTATCTGATATACTATATAATTATATGATCATTTTTTCAGTATTTTCTGTTTCTCACTAATGAGAGAAATTTAAGGGAATAAAGTGTCACCAAATTACAAGACAGAATTCTTTGGCTCTTCTTTATTCTCACGGATTTGCAAGTACACATCTTCTAGAAAATAGTTCAAATTAAACTTTCTACGGGTTGTATTTTAAAAAGGTGAAGAGGACAATCTGGGCAGCTCTTTTTAGCAGGTTCTCTTGGAGAACAGTCATTTCCCAGCCACCCTTGTACCCAGAGAGCAACAGCTCAAACAGCCAAATAAAAAGAATTATAATTTATCAAAAGAATGCCTGTTTAATGTATAATGAAATTTGAAGTAAAATTGAAACATTTCTTTCCAAAGTTCAAATTGCTCTTGTGAGATGCATAAATTTAAGTATCTCAGAAGGGGGATTTAAACTTTGAAAGGAAACCTATCTAGACATCTCAGAAAAGCTAAGAATTTAAAGAACGTAGAGAGAACGTGGAGTAGATTCTTTACTGGATTTGATATTGTACTTGGGTGCATGCGCATACATTACCGTAGCTAAAACCAGCTGTGGCTGGCAAACAGCTGCCCATCAGTCCAACTGGGTAGCGGAGACGGGTCATGAGGCCTGGGGAGAGACAGAAATTGGCATTTCAAGCCTACTTACTGACATAAAAGAAAAAAAACAATGTATTAGACGACGATGCCAGTCTTCAAATAAATTAGGTGGGGAAGTATTCTCCATTAGCCTATTTACTTATTTTCCCCATTTTTCATACAATAATATTTGCTCATGGGACACACATCTTTTTAATTTATTTTTTTTATTATTAACATATAATGTATTATTTGTCTCAGGGTGGAAACATATTTTAAAATCTAAGAAAATTTAAAGACAAAGTAAAGATCTCACTAAATCTTAGCAGCCAGAGATGCACTGTTATTATTCTGGTGAACACCTCTGCAAAAATCTCTGTATATGTACATGAAAGCATATACACACCCAATATGTTTCACAGAAAAGTAAATGTCTTGCCAAAAGCTTTTCACACTCAATATGTCATTGATATATGGCAGTGACTATAAATAGAGCTGAAAGTTACTTCTAAGATGCCACTATTGTAAAACATGCTGTATGTTTTTGAACACAAATTTTTAGGTACCTCTCAAATTATTGCCTTAGGATAAATTCCTTAAAATGTGATTTCTTGATCAAAGCACATAGAGAAAAACTGTACTAATTCATTCAACCACCAACAGTGTTTAAGTGTACCCATTTCCTGACTCCACTTTTTGAGAGTAGTTTTTTTTCTTTTCATTTTTTCTTTAATAACATGGTAGCATAAATGAGACTTCTTCTGATTGGGTCAACATGTAGTATTCTGTTCCATCAATTTCAATTTAGTTCAACAAGCCTTTGTTATTTATTTCCTCGACTAATGTTTATTTGGGGCCTGCTTTGTGCCAAGCACCATCCAGATGGTGGGAGACATCAGTGAAGCAGTGAGTAAGCCAGTGATGGCCCCTGCTCCCGTAGAGCTTACAGTTTAGTGGGGGAAGAGAAAATAAACAAGTACATGCACACCCAAGAAAAAACAGAAGATGATGAGTGGTAAGCAGAGTAGATACAATACAGCTTCTATCGAGTGGGTGCTCGGGAAGGCCTCTCTGACAAGATGACAACTATGCTGACATCAACTGATAAGGAGCCACCTTACAAAGATCAGGAGGAAGAGCATTCTGGACAGATGGAACAGCATGTGCAAAGGCTGGAAGACAGAAAGAAACGTGGCCAGTATAAGAAGAGAAGGAAGCATCATTAAGTGCCTACTGTGTGCAAGGCACTCTTCCAGGTAGATCTCAAAGATTCTGGAGGACCAAAGATGAATAAGGTGAGGACTCTGTACTCAGGGGCTCAATCTCAGTGAGGGAAGACAGGCAGAGAAAGGCAATTCCAATATACGAGGAATAAATCCTGTGCTAGAGATACACAAGATGCTCCAGGACACAGCACCTCACACATTTTTGGATTTGAAGAAGTCTTCTGAAAAGAAATGATACCTGAGATGAATATGGCAAGTGGAGTTAAGCCATGAAGAGAATCTATGAAAAACACTCCAGGCAGAGGGAACAGCATGAGATGATACCTAGAGGTATGAAGCAGGATGGGCTACTTGACAAAAGGTGAGAGATAGAAGAGGCAAGAAATTACACTTGAGAGGTAGGTAATATTCTGGTTATGATGGGCCTTGTAAGCCATGTTAGGGAACATTACATCATGCTGCAGGTGAGAAGGAGCCATTGAAAGTTCCCAAATAAGGGAGTGGCATGGTCAGATTTACATTTTTGGTAGATCATTCTGACATCAGCGTAGAGGATGGATTGAGGGGAAGTCAACATTGAAGACAAGACCAGTTAAGAGGCCATTACAGTTGTCCAAGTGAACAATGATTAGAGCAGCACTAGAAGACAAAGAGAGGCAAGAACCTATATGAGACACACTTAGGATATGAAATTCATTGCACTTGATAATTAACCAGAAGTTGTAGAACAAATAGTATTAAAATTTGTATGGAATCGCAAAAGGCCCTGAATAACCAAAGCAGTCTTGAGAGAGAAAAAACAAAGCTGGAGGTATAACACTCCCTGATTTCAAACTATACTACAAAGCTATAATAATTAAAACAGTATGGTACTGGCACAAAAACAGACACATAGATCAATGGAACAGAATAGAAAGTCCAGAAATAAACCCAAGCTTATCTGGTCAATTAATCTTTGACAAAGAAGGCAAACACATACAATGGTGAAAAGATCCCCATTGATGTTCTCTTCAATAAATGGTGCTGGGAAAACTGGACAACTATATGCAAAAGAATGAAAGTGGACCACTTTTTTACACCACACACACACACACACACACACACAAACTCAAAATGGATTAAAGACTTAAATGTAAGACTAGAAAACATCAAACTCCTAGAAGAAACCATATGTAGTAAGCTCTTGGACATCAGTCTAAGCAATATTTTTTTCATCTATCTCCTCAGGCAAGGCCAACAAAAACAAAAATAGACACATGGGACTACATCAAACTAAAAAGTTTTTGCACAGTGAAGGAAACTATCAACAAAACAAAAAGGCAACCTACTTGAATGGGAGAAGGTATTTACAGATGCTATGACCAAAAAGGAGCTAATATCCAAAATATATAAAGAATTCATACAACTCAATATCAAAAAAAGACCAAACAATCCAATTTTAAAAAAATGGGCAGAGGACCCAAATAGACATTTCCCCAAAGAAGACATACAGATGGTCAACAGACACATGAAAAGATGCTCAGCATCACTCATCATCAGGGAAATGCAAATCAAATACACAATGAGATATCACCTCACACCCGTCAGAATGGCTAGTATCAATCAGACAAGTGTCGGCGAGGATGCAGAGTAAAGAGAACCCTCGAGCACTGTTGGTGGGAATGCAAAATGGTGTGGCCACCATGGAAAACAGTGTGGAGGTTCCTCAAGAAAACTAAAAATAAAACTACCATACAATCCAGCAATTCTTCTTCTGGGTATTTCTCCAAAGAAATAAAAAACACTAATTTGAAAAGATATATGCACCCCTATGTTTATTGCAGCATTATTTAAACAGGCAAAATACAGAAGCAACCTAAGTGTCCACTGATAGATGAATGGATAAAGAATATATGGCTGGAATAATGAAATATTCTTCAGCCATAAGAAAGAATAAAATCTTGCCATTTATAACAACATGGATGGACCTAGGTGGTATTATACTAAGTGAAAAAATCAGAGAGAGAAAGACAAATACTGTATGAATTCATTTATATGTGGAATCTAAAAAAACAAAGCAAACAAAACAAAACTGAAACATACTCATAAAAACAGAACAATCTGGTGGTTGCTAAAGTGAGTGTGGGGGGTGGTAGGATAGGCAAAATAGGGAAAGGGGATTAAAAGGTACAAATTTTTGTAGGAGACACAATGTATGGCATGTGTTAATAATATGTAACAACTTTGTATGGTGACAGATGGTAGCTAGATTTATTGTGGTGATTACTTTGTAATGTACATAAATGTTGAATCACTATGCTATATACCTAAATATACTATTGTATGGCAAATACACTTCAATAGAAGAAAGTTTTCCAGTAACTGAAGAGAAGAAGAAGAAGGAGGAGGAGGAGGGGAAGAAGAGAAGGGGGAGGGGGAGGAGGGGGAGGAGGAGGAGGGAGAAGGAAAAGAGGAAGAAAGGGAGGGAGGGGAAGGGTGGGGGAGGGGAGGGAGAGGAGACAGAGGGGGAGGAGGAGGAGGAAAGAAGTTATCCATTAAGGAGAATAGAATCATCTCTTGTGACTCCTCTATGTTTCCAGCCCCTGTAATTGGCAGGATGATGACCCTATTATCTGAAATGGACAACAGGAAGAAGAGTAGGTTTGGAGAGAAAGCAGTGGTTAAGATGAAGAGTTCCAGGAAGTTTGTGCCTCTTAATCACCTTCACCTATTTCACCCACTCCCCCGTACCCTCTAATAACCACCAGTTTGTTCTCTGTATTTATAAATCTATTTCTGTTTTTTGTTTGTTTTTTTTAGATTCCAAATATAAATGAAGTCATATGGTATCTGCCTTTTTTTGTCTGACTTATATCACTTAGCATAATACCTCTAGGTCCAAGCATGTTGTCGTGAATGGTAAAACATCATTCTGTGTATGGGTGTGTATGTGTGCAAACTCCACCTCTTCTTTATCCATCTAACAACCCAATTTTAAAAC